TGAAGAACATTTAATCAATAAATGAGAACTTTTTATATTAAATACACTTCAATTATTTTTTACACATACAGGATATGATCAGACCCATGGAAATCAGTGTTAGCCCAGCAAAATTTACTACTTGTCAAATAAAATAAAATACACAGTATGTATGCACTATTCTTAAAGCATTAGCTTCTTCATGATAAGTATGTGTGTGTCTGTGTAGTTGCTGCGTGTTGTCGCAGTGGTCGGGCATGTAGCTGTTATCCGATTCTGTTTGTGATTTGTGATCAATTTGTTTAATTATTAATTAAGGTTTGTTTCCAGCGTCATTTGACCCAGCATTATCTTAAGAGTGATAAAAGTCAATAATAACACACCCTGAACTAAAGGATGGAGAATGACTCAGATTTTGTAGAAATAACATGTGTGTGTGTTTTGGATCTGTAATGAACTAGACAGTCACGCTTCATTGTTCAACTGTGGTTCATTTGTTTACTTTGCAATAATCAGACGAACCATATTGTAACCTGATATTTGTCCTTATGATTAAGAAAACTATGTGAAATCATATATATGTATCTTAAAATATATTATATATCATATTTGTGTCTGGCATCATAATCATTCGAGTGGTATGAAAGGCGACCTCACCACCACATAAAGGCTGCTAATGATGAAGGGAGATGAAGGTAGATCTGGAAGGAAACCTTTCTCCAGGAAATAATTCACATAAACCTGAGGCCTGACATAGTTTTGTGATGTGGTGTCAGTGGACAGTTAATTCTATCGAATTGACAAGACCCTGGGAGGACTCAGCTGAGGAAGCATTTGGAGGAAATAGCTTAGATACACAGATTTAGCTGCAGAAGCTGAAGAGCCAGGATGGAAAGTTAAAGTTTGTCTGATAAAGGTGGGATGTAGAGAGGGTTCATAGAATCATCAACCATCTCATTACTGGGAGAGCTGGGACATAATTTGCGTAAGACGTCTAAGAAGATGCCAGATGAGGCAGTTAAAATATTGATTGAGGAGAAATAGTGCCAGTTTGGGGACAAAAAACAAAAATGAAATCCAGTTATGTCCTTTTTTTTATTTTATTTTTTTTAAGGCTAGCCTGACAGGCTTGTCACCCTTGCTCTGCCTTCCTTGTCCCATTTCTCACATCTGTCTACAGACTCTTCTTGCTGTTTTTGTAATGTTAGCACCAGGAATAGGCAGGGAAGGGGGCGGCTCTGGGATACCGGAGCCATCTGTCGAGCCTTCCCAAGGTGTCATGGGCTCAACCTGACAAAACACCGGTGAAGGGAGGTGCCCACTTGATGAACCCCGGTGTGTTGACTCATGCTACCCATTTAGTTTCACTGTTCTGGGGGGGGGCATTAGGGGCCATGTGATAGGGTAGATAGTTTTGGCATTGTGAATACATCAAGCTTGCATGTACAGAGCCTGGGTCTGTTGTGGTGGACAGTGCTGTTTGGGTTGTGGTGGTCGCTAAGGGTGATAGGATTAGGTACGTTATCAGTGGGGCAAAACAATTAGGAGGTTATAATGGGTGTTTGTGTCTGGGGGGGGGGGGGGGGTCTTTTTAAGTGCTCATTCTTCTTATTAGGTCACAAGTATATTGTGTTTATTTTAAATAAAATATTGATTTCTTCCACTGAATATCCGCTGGCTGCAATCTTTACTTTTCACATAAATGCAGTTTCACGCTCTGGAGTTGAACAACAGGAGAGGGGAGAAAGGGAGCATTTTTGAAGGAAATCATTTACAGACATTCCTACAAACAATTAGACCTTGAAAAGTAATTCATCATAGTTCACTTGCTGCGTCCATATATCATGTGCTGTGTGTGTGTGTGTGTGTGTGTGTGTGTGTGTGTGTGTGTGTGTGTGTGTGTGTGTGTGTCAGTTACCTCTACAAAGTTGTGAATTCCCTCTAGGTATGCCAAGTTGTTATCAGTCACGTCCACACAAATACAGAAGTACAGTCCAGCATAACGCCTGTAAATGATCTTGAAGTTCCTGAACTGTGAGAACAAACACAAATAAAGGCTCTCAATAACTTTCCATGTTATAGCAATGATACCAAAGGTAAAATAAATCCATTACATTTCTAATATATTTGGAACAAACGTACATAGAAAACAAGATTAACAGAGCAGGATTTGGTTTCTGTTGGCAGTGGGGTTTTTTTTTTTTAACAAATGCCTCCTACAGGGTTTCTTTTTTTCTATTTGCTTTGAATTTTGAATTATGGCTTGTTGACGTAACTTGTGAAAAATGTTTCTAATGTGGGACACAGGAGTCAGCCAATTACTTGTACAGTATGGTTTTTGTCATTCTGCTAGAGACTGCAGATGTAATTTATCTCTAAGCTAATTCTGGTACAAATATCATAACACATAACATTGATGTTTGATATGATACATGATCCCATTAGAAACAAACTGAATTAAAAGTTCTAGAACAACCCCCCGCTCCCCACCGGATTGTTGATGGACGGCTTGCCTCCCCCCCAACCCCTCCTTGCTCCCTATCCCTCTTCCTGCATCTTATCCCATCTCTCCCCCTATCCCCTTCCAACCCCAGCACAGTCTAGGCCTGTGAAGGCTGTTTCGTCATAAGCCTGGGATCCGGCCGAAGATTTCTGCCTTTTAATAAGGCAGTTTTTTTCTTACCACTGTAACTTTTGCTGCTTTGCTAAAGTGCTCATGATGGATAGGCCGGGTCTTTGTAACATAACAATAAGTAAGGTCTTTTACCTGCTTTTTGTAACATAGCAATAAGTAAGGTCTTTTACCTGCTTTTTGTAACATAACAATAAGTAAGGTCTTTTACCTGCTTTTTGTAACATAACAATAAGTAAGGTCTTTTACCTGCTTTTTGTAACATAACAATGAGTAAGGTCTTTTACCTGCTTTTTGTAACATAACAATGAGTAAGGTCTTTTACCTGCTTTTTGTAAAGTGTCTCGAGATAACACTTGTCATGAGTTGACGCTACACAACTAAAAATTGATTGATTGATGGTTCAAGGGAACATAACAGCATGATGGTTAAAGTCAGAAAACACTCGTGAATGTTGTTAAAAAAACAAAAAACGAATCCTGTACCTCCACAAAGTTGGTGTGCTTGGCATCTCTGACAGTTACCACAGCATGCACTTCTTCAATCAACTTCTGCTTCTCATCATCATCAAACTGCATGTACCATTTGGCCAGTCGCGTCTTCCCTGCTCGGTTCTGGATGAGGATGAAGCGGATCTATGGAGGGGGGGGAGAGGGGGAAAGGATGAGTGATGTGTTATACCCAACCCTAAACATACTGGAGTCATGCTACTTGTCCTGTCAAACATTTCTGAATGAGACATGACAACCAACAACGCCGCTTTGCTGACTATCAGATGTATATAAACTCAGTCATTAAATACTTCTCTGTAACTAACAGTGTGTCATATTCTGTGGTTTAAAGATAACTAAACTCCACCTGTTAGTTTGATAACACACCTGTGCATGACATTTTGTTAAAAGTCACATTTATTGTCGTTCAATCTGCCTTATGTAAATGTTTTTTTATTGTATCTGTGGTAATTAAACGTGATAACATATGTGTGGCCTAGTCTGCTGTAACAGCTAAGCTAACGTCACCAACAGGCTGAATGAGAAGGTTGACCCGCTAACTCCAGACATAAAAACCCAATATTGTTCAGTTTTTTTCACATATTTACCATTGTCGTCTCCTAAATATGACCCTTAGAAGCTCCAGAATATCACGTCCCTCGACAATTATACCACGATTTTACATAAAAACATCAGTAATTTCTTCAACCGCTTGTCCGCTACCCACAGCTAGCTTTACAGGAAGTGCCAGACCCTATCGTAGTTCCGTTGCAAAGTGGTAAATGTAGTTTTTGTCACCACGTTTTAAAACCTTTGGAACGCAATGTTGCACTACAAAAACCAGCATCCTCCGGAAATGCCTCGTACTTTGGATCACATGAGGAGCTAAAGGGCAGTTGCTTATATTTTATCTATACCTAAAACATTTTTAAAACGAGTTTAAACAAAAAAAACACAGAAGATAATAATAAAATAAAGTTAACGACAACCGAAACATTTATTTTTTTTATCAACCTCTTTCCAACAATATGTCTGACATATCACATAAGTTTTATTAAAACTGATAGTCTAGGTATGATTAGGATATTAAATTAGAAATACTGCAGAATTGTGCACCGGAAACATCATCAAGATTACGTTTATCATATAAAGTTGAGTATTTTCTACTACAGTAGGCTAAGTTTAAAATAACATGCCATGTAGCCCGATAAAAGAATTAAGCCAATTTTCACAACTGTGTTTTTTGTTGTTGTTGTGGTTTGCGTGTGAATGCTTATGTTCACTTTTGTGACACACCTTGGAATGACTTGCATATGCAGTAGATAAAAAATTAAAAAAAAGATTAGCCATGACCTACCGGTAGACATGGGCTATATATTTCCACCCTTTCCAGGCACTTGCGGGTTTATTTCTGTAGAGTCAGGACTCAGAGTTTGTTTACTGGTCTGATTGTGCGGCCAGTTTACCACAGTACATTTGTAGGACGGATTGGACAGCCTCTCTTTCTTTGAGCTTTCAGGGTGTTTGGGGAGTGAGAGGGGGATGGGGGACTGTGATTGTCAGGGATTGCACAACAGTGAAACAAGGAATGTTGCCCTCTGGAACCAAAAAATATTTCAGCTGCAAATACAGAGTGGGCTGAGGTGGGAATGGGGAAAGAAATACAAAGAAAGCCAAGAGTAAACATTTAATTATAAGTTTTACCTTTGCCGCTGTGTTTTGATACTGATGTGTCTCTGGAAAGAAAAGCAAAACCAATAGAGTATCATAAATAGCAAAAATAACCTTGTGCGTCATAATTGCGTAGTCAAATGATCAAGTTATATGATAGGGCTGGATCGTGACAGTGACACGAGAATGGGATCAAAACCACAGGTAGATCATACATCCGAAACTTTGACCCCTGCTAATCTTGCTCTGTGTGATTGGGGTCATGCAAATATTGCTGAGAACGCAGGAACTATAATGTGATTGGACAGAAGCTTGTTGACTTATTTAAACAGGGGATAGTGCACCTTGAACCCTGCCAGACTGTGTGTTTAATGATGGGTCACATTTCAAACTGTTAAGCACACACGATGGCCTTTATACAATATAATTTTTAGAACTCATGTAGGGATAACATAGCTTTTAAGTTGAATGTAAAAAGCATTTAACATGATGCCTATACGTGTTTGTTTGACATCACACAGAGTTTAGGTTACCAGATTGGAGTTGCATGTTTGGGGAGGGAAGTTCAACGAAGGACTGACAGGGAGAGAGAGGAGAATTCCAGGAGAAGCTCCCAGTTTAAGACACTAAACATCTGTTTGAGCTGCCAGCACAGGCATTTGTCTTGTAAAACATTGCAGATATTTCTCAAAGAAGTTGAATGCTGTTCAATATCTTTAAAAAAAAAAAAAAATCTGCCTCTGGGTCTTTATTTTTTAACATAAGAAATCATTTTAAAAAAGCAGACATCCTCATGGCACTTTTTTTTTTTTTACCAAGCATATGACAAAGAGTACAACACAAATAATCAGGACTAACCTTTGGGATGATACGTTTTATAAGGTCTATAAGGTTTTTGAAAGAATCCATTTTGAAAGAATCCATTGTAACACCAATTTATTATCCCTTGTGAGGCCACACAACATCACATCTTGAGGATGACCTTCTTTTTTTAGTTTGGGAGAATGTGGATCAGTTGTGAAAGGAAGTGGAGTTTGAGGCCTGCACTCTCTCTTGCGCGCGCTCTCTCTCTCTCTCGCTCCCCCGCTCGCTCTCTCGCTCGCTCTCTCATGCACGCAGCAATTTCATGAATAAATGAAAAATTAAATACACACAGGTCGGAAGTATACTTGGGCTCCCAACACAGGTATCGTGTGTGGGAAAAACTGCAATGAGATGAAATTGAAATCACTTTTCTATTTTACAATTGTATTTTATATTGACTAAACATCTCGCGATCGACTGAGAATCAGTCAGCGATCTACCTGTCGATCGCGATCGACTGTTTGGGCACCCCTGCACTAACGTTTGAATTAGCGGTATCAGACTGTGTTTCTTTTACGTGTTTACAACTGAACAAGGCTGGGAGATATTGTGAATATGCACATTAACGTTTGAACAACGTTGAGTTATTGTGAATGCACTACGTATAAAACTACGTTTTGAGAGTTAAGAGAAACGTCAAAGAAATAATTTATTATTTGGGGAAATCGTCTTATGTACTTTTGTTTTTGTAGTTTTATACGTTACGTTTTATACGTATTTATATTTATATATTCACAATATCTCCCAGCGTTGTTCAGTTGTAAACACGTTCTATTCTATGCGCCTTATAATCCGGTGCGCCCTATATATGAAAACAGTTCTAAAATAGGCCATTCATTGAAGGTGCGCCTTATAATCCGGTGCGCCTTATAGTGCGGAAAATACGGTACATGTATATGTTTACATGTGTTTGAACCCTGATGGTGATAAAATGGTTGTTCAGTCAGGACCACTTTGTCAAGAAGGATACTTTGATGCAATTATTTATATTTGGCAGTATGGCTCTGTGGGGGATCTCCCTGCCCTTCCACGTGCTTACGTGGAAAGCATTAGGCAGGAACAGCACACATTCCTGCCCTTCCCGTGCATAAAGCTATAAGGCAGGGAGATAAGCAGCAAACCCAAACAGAGCATCATTGACAAGCATGAGCATTGATTAAGTCAGAACCACAGAAAAGGAGGAGGTGGGGAAGAGGAGAGTTGTAAATGTAGCTTGTAGAGGGAGCAATAGGCAGGCTAGAGCAGTTTAAAAAAGGCGGCATATGTACTATTTGGCCAATAGGACGCTTCGAAGCAAATCAGCTGGCCATCAGCTGATGCGGCTTGCGTGAGATCAGCTGTTACCGAAACTCTGGCATAATAACAGAGCGTGACTCCGTGACCTGCCATTTGTTGTAGTCTATATTTAAAGGTTACAGCTCACAGTTCTCATCATTCTCAGCATGAATACACCTTCTTCTCCTTCTTCTGCAAATCAAAGTTTATAAAAGCTGTGAAATGGACAAGGTCAACGAGGGGGTGTAGGGTGGAGGAGGGGGGCTGTTCTGGCAGGCCGTCAACCAACAATCTTGAGGAGCCTAAGAGAGCTCAAGAGCTCCCAGGAAAGTAGGTGGTTAGTGACTGAGATTTACAGATAGATACATGCAGTAATATGATGTACTGTATATGCACAGAGAGAGAGAGAGAGAAAGGGGCTCAAGGTGCCAGTTTCCCCGGTAGTCTAAGCCTATAGCAGCATAACTAAGAGCTGGTCTACACCAGCACTAACTATAAGATTTATCAAAAAGGAAAGTTTTAAGTCTATTCTTAAAAATACAGACTGTGTCTGCCTCCTGGACCCCGGCTGGAAGGCGGTTCTAGAGGAGAGGAGCCCGATAACTGAGGGCTTTACCCCCCATAGTACACTTGGAGACTGTAGGTACCACCAGCAGGCCTGCACTCCGGGACCGCAACGCTCTCGAGGGACAGTACGGCACTAGTAGCTCCTTCAGGTAAGATGGTGCCTGGCCATTTAGCGCTTTGTAAGTGAGAAGAAGGATCTTGAATTCTATTCTAGACTGTATAGGGAGCCAGTGCAGAGAAGCCAGGACAGGAGTGATGTGGTCCCATTTCCTGGTTCTGGTCAGTACACGAGCTGCAGCATTCTGGACCAGTTGAAGAGTCTTTAGAGATTTGCCAGAGCACCCTGACAAAAGAGAGTTACAGTAATCCAGTCTGGAGGTAACAAATGCATGAACTAGTTTTTCTGCATCATTTTGCGACAGGATATTCCTAATCTTGGATATATTACGAAGGTGAAAATAGGCTGTTCTTGAAACTTGACTGATGTGAGAGCTAAAAGACATATCTTGATCAAAAAGAACTCCTAGATTCCTAACAGTGGTGTTAGATGCCAGGCTGATGTCACTAAGGACAGTCAAATCACTAGAAAAAGTCTCTCTGAGGTTCTTAGGGCCTAGCACAATAACTTCAGTCTCGTCTGAGTTAAGTAGCAAAACATTTTTGGTCATCCAGGTCCTAATATCCTTAAGGCACGTTTCTAGCTGACATAACTGACTGGTGCAGTTGGGCTTCATTGATACATAAAGCTGAGTATCATCTGCATAACAATGAAACTGTATGGAGTGTTTCCTCATAATATTTCCCAGAGGAAGCATATATAATGTAAAGAGAATTGGTCCAAGCACTGAACCTTGTGGGACTCCATGGCAAACTTTAGTGTGCATAGAGGACTCATCATTAACATGTACAAACTGAGATCGGTCTGATAAGTAGGATTCAAACCAACTTAAAGCAGTCCCTGTAATTCCAAGCAAATGCTCCAGTCTGTACATCAGGATCCGATGGTCAATGGTGTCAAAAGCAGCACTAAGATCTAACAAGACGAGCACAGACAGAAGTCCCCTGTCTGAAGCTAGAAGTAGATCGTTTGTAACTCTAACTAGTGCAGTCTCAGTGCTATGGTGGACTCTAAATCCTGACTGAAACTCCTCAAATAAACTGTTGTCATGGAGAAAGTCACACAGCTGTTTAGCTACCACTTTCTCCAGGATCTTCGAGTAAAAAAAAAAAGGAAGGTTGGATATAGGCCTGTAGTTAGCCAGAGTTCCTGAATCCAGAGTAGGCTTTTTAAGTAGAGGTTTGATTACCACTACTTTAAATGCCTGGGGTACATAGCCTGCCAGTAAAGACAAATTGATCATATCTAATATAGAGTTGCTAACTAAGGGAAAAACTT